CCGATCCAATGTCCCGGTGGAAGTGGCAAAATCATGGCCTTGTTCTACCGGGGTAGATTCAATCGCCAGCCTTCTGCCTCTTCCTTCCAGTCCATTTACTTCCTGGTCATTCATGGTCTGGTCCGTATTGACCTCCACTTCTAACAGTTTTCTTCGCTCTTCTGAGGTCTTCTGACTTCTCGTTTCAACCATTCTGCCTGAAACCGTCCCCCTTTTGTCAGACCGGGATCGCTTGATTCAATCCACAAAAGGATCGTTCATCGTTTTTCTTTGCTTTTCAGGTATGAATTTCCTAGAGCTATTACCTCGTTTTGGTATCCTTGACTTGTCTAGACTCATTCTCTATTTGTCACTTTCCAATGCCTACTCTTTACTCAATTTCTAGAGACCTTATAGTTTTATTAACAATAATAATGACACAACACAATAAATTTCACCAGATTCTATTAAATAGTGACCACGAATCCCTGTATGTTGTCAGAGTACAGTTTGTATAAAATTTATTCACACTAACCGATTATCGGTCCAAAGATTTTGAAATTAGCACAATATGATGTTATCAGTCAATTTAAAAGATAGTGTACTCACTACCCAATCAAGCACAGTTTACGTTGATTTAAAATCAAAAACAAATAATTTATTTTGACACAATATGAATGTATATATAAAAAAAAACGTATGTGTCTTGTACTCTTAGTCGGTCGCAGTACAATAGTCGAACCTGTCTTTTAAAGAAAAAACTTTCCCTGCTCGGTGCCGCACCAAACAGACAAAAGTTTGAAGGCAGTAATTTTCTCAAGTGGGCGTCTATTGCACCCACCGAGTACTGTGTTACCTATCTGCCTTCGGACTGCCCGAGCTAGACCTAATAAAATCCTCAGGGCATTCACTTTTCCCAAAAACGTATTATGTTTCAATCCACACCAATGAATCACGCTCTTTTTAATTTAGACTTAGTGTCGCGAATATCCGAGTTCGGACCTGTTTTGTATTAGTCTGGTTCTTATTGAAAGGCAAGTTACCAGTGCAGTAACTGATACCTAGCCTGTGTGCTAATAACCTAATACCTCTCACTTTTTAGTCTTTCTTTCGTCTACCTAAGTCCTTAATAAAATAATACCCCTCCGGATTGGCACAAATAGGACCCTTCCGGATTGATAGAATCTAGACCCCTCCGGATTTGGACCCCTCTGAGTTGGTTAATAGAAGACCCCTCCGGATTTGGACCCCTCCGAATTAGCAACTATAAGACCCCTCCGGATTCGGACCCCTCCGGATTCGGACCCCTCCTAACTTGAAAATGTTTGACCCCTCCGGATTGGGAGCCCTCCGGTTTTGTAAAAGTAGCTTTTCGGAGATTTCCTTTTTTCAACCTATACCCCTCCTGATTGATACGTTCTCCGATGCAATTATGCTCTTTCAATTAACTGGGAAGGGTATGTGCTACCTTCCTAGACCCTTCCGGATTGAAGTTAAGCTTCTTATTTGACAATTCACACCAACGGTGAAGGGTCTTATCGCTGGCCTAACTTCGGCTCGATTAAAATTTTGCTGTGCCTTTAGCCCTCCCTTTTGGTCTAGAATGGCCTACAGTTACTTTATTCAACCGCTATTACCTTTTGGTAGGGGTCTAAGGGTTTTTCAGAAAAATTTATAAAACGTGAAGGGTGTACCCCTCCGGATTTGTGTAATTTGCTAAAAACAATCTCCAAAAATTTTCTCGCTCGCTTTTTCGAGTAATTCTCTTTCCTACTAGTAAGTTCAGCTAATTTCTGATCTAATGGTACCAAGATTGACCGGATTTGTCTAGTTGTCGAAAAGTTATTAGCCAAAACGTCTTTCTTGCAAACTCAAAAAATTTCTCATTTATAGGTTCCACCTAACTTTTTCCGCAAATCTGGTCCTTTCGACCTGAAAATTATTGATCCGAGCTCAGAAGGCCTATACTCTTCTAGTTCAATGCAAAAGACCCGATCTAAAACGCTTTTGTAGAAAAAATTTTGCGAAAAACTATGCTACCTGGACCCCTCCGGATTGATGAATCCACCAAATCAAACACGTTATGTCCGATTTCTCTGCAACCCGGAAGGCTTTCGGGTAGCGGGTTTTAAAACTTGTAGATTCACTAGTGGACGTTGTCCGAACAACTATTTTTACTGTTGTAACTCAAAAATTTCAAAAAATTTTCTAAATTTATATTGTTTCGTTTTCTCAAAAATCACGAAAATTCGGTTTTTGGTTCCAAAATAGTTCCAACCACTTCCGAACTAAACTTAACCGGTTCTATCTATTGTGGTAGTGCAGTTACGATGTAACACACTAACTTAGCGCTTTTTTCCGTTTGAAAAAATATCGATATCTCAAAAATCGCGACTTGTGGGGGGATCAAAATATCGCTATTTTGACCCTAAAAACCGGTCTGTTTTCGTTGTTTTTCACTGAAAAACGATATAAGACTATTAATATAGGCTAAATAAAAAATAATATTAGTAATACTATACCCCTCCGGGCTTCCTTAATATCCGAATTAAGGTGCTTAACTCGGATATTCGCAGTTCGGTGAAGGGTCACTACAGTGCAGCACTGTCGAGCCCCCCACAGATTACTATCTTACTTTTTGTACCAAAAGGGATACAAAACTTGTTAACGATACCCAACAGTCGATTGTTGTTGTCGTTGAGCCCCTTCTTGTTGCTCCTTGTACTGCTTGCCGGATCGGTCTTCACCCAAGACCCTTCCGAATTGAGCGCAAATCAGCTGACCCTTCCGGATTGAGCGCAATTTATCATTAACGTGCTTAAATGCTCAAATAACCCTACAGTACAAGCCTCACAAACGGGCTACAAAACTGATCGTAACGATCCTGACTGATATAATTGCCTGTAACAACAATATATCTATCAACAACAAACGGGGGGGTCGGATCACATCTTGTCTGGGGGGATGATTTCTACTGATTTTTTACTTTTTTTTTTAACTGTTTTTGGTTTTTTCGGTTATTTTTTATGTTTTTTGTTTTTCTTGGGTACTATACTACTTTTTGTTTGGTTTTACTTATATCTTTAAGTGTTTTTGGTCACAAACCACTCAGGGGATGAGGGGTTCGCGATTCCCCCCACCCTTCCTGGTTCGTGAATTTTCGGTCTTAACTAGGTTAAAAAACTATTCACGGTAATCCGGAAGGCTTCCGCGCTCCAAACTACCCTTCCGCCCCGGCGGTTCAGGCCTATTAAGGGCGTTAATGTGAGCATCCGCTCGGCGCGGAGTGCTCGTTAACGGTTCTGCCGGTCATGATGTTAAAAAAGAATAACACCCAGGAGCGCCATAAAAACATGTATGTAACATTCGCCCGGAAGATACATATCGACGGATAACAAAACTAAGTCTTAAGACGACTGGCTAACGTCTAAACAGAGCTTTGCATGCTTTTCACCGTCTCTACCAAGCCAGTACTTTCCGGTGGTCTTTTCCAACATCGGGTCGACAAAAACGTTACTGTTCTCCAGCTTCGACCAGAACGCTCAAATTAACTTAATTACATGCAAATAGTGAGCTCATGGCTGGATCTCAGTATCCCCAGGCCACGAGGTCACTCCTAAAAACAGGGCTACTACTTATTATATTACTATTGTTTTTGTTCAGTAGATAAAAATCATCATCTCCATCGAAGATGGATCAACCCTTTCCCCCAACTCCTAGCACCTCATCCTTGTCAAAACTAATCCAAATATCAGTTAAATTCAAGTCAGGACATGACAGGAAGCTAAAAGTTTACGTGGCAGGATAAAAGTTTCAGTTCCTTTACCCTTCCGAATTGACGAATCCGCTGAATCAAGCTCGTTAATCTTGATTTCCTCCTAATCCGGAAGGCTGGTTTCTTACCCTTCACCGTTGCTCGCAACGGCCTTGCAACTATTGTAGCAGCACAATAGTTGCAACTCGGAACGTCCTCTGTTATTCTGTAGTTCGTTGTCGTTTTTAATCTCGATTTTCGTCCTGTTCGCTATCGCAGATAAAGTTGTTCTTTTTCCTCTTTCTCGTTTTTGCCAAAATGGCCGTTTCTGACGTTTCTCAGAAATATGGCGTCATAATTCGAAATTTTGAAATTTAAAAATACTAGAATATTCCAGCCCTCACCGTCTGGCTAATCGTTCCAATAACGTCCTTAATTCTTAATAACCACCAATCCGGAAGGCTTACTGCTAAAAATTCGAAGTCTGCACAAATTGCATTTTGGCCATTCTGGTCGAATGTCACATCTGCTATAGTTTTTATGATAGGAATGCCACTGCGGGACAATTCGAGCGGAATGATAGGGATTCTAGAGGTAACGCATGTTAAGTAGTAGTACGTAAAGCAAATCTAGAAATGCGAAAAAATTTCTTCACGATAAAAACACCTCTCGACTGGAACAATCTGCCACAGGAAACAGTGCAAAGCAAGGCCATCGACGAATTCAAGTGGAAACTGGACAAACATTGGAAAGCGATTGGAATTGACGTGTACGAATTCGAACGGAGATAGGAGAAAACATTTGAAATGACCACAAGAGGCACTGCTTAATGGGTCATAAAAAAACTTGACTTGACTTGACTATAGTAATGCCTTGACTATTCTGTATAGTCATCAAATTGTTTCTTATGTAATTTTTTTTTTCAATTTGACATATGCATCAAATGATTTGATTTGCTCAACATCAAGTTTAATGTCTATTATGATTGGCCAGTGCAAAAAAATGCTGAGATATTTTGCAGAGCTAGCGTGGTGTTCAGTTTTTTTATGATTGGCCAGTGCAAAAAGTGCTGAGATATTTTGCAGAGTTAGCGCGGTGTTCAATTTGTTTATTGAGAAACGAATTCTATGTAAAAGGTTATCGATGCAAATATTTGTTATTTCGTCGCAATTTTAAGTCGTTATTTGAGAATCTATTTTATGTGTTCAGTTTTTGTCAGTATTTGGTTTACTCCTGATTTTTCATATATCTCAGGTGATTTATTTTAAGATATCAATGAGGAATTGAGATTGACAGCTGGATCATCTATATTCGCATAAATGTCGTTTAAATACTTAACTGTACTTTTTTGGCTCTTGATAGCAGTTGAACTTCAGAAGTAAGATTTTTCAAATTTCGATTATGTAATAGGCTTGTTTTGTTCGGCCTGTTTATCTTTTGACGTTTAGATGCGACCAGGTGGCAAAAGAGATGTACACCGAGCTACTCAGTGAAACTGGGCTTGATTCTGTAAGTACCTCACAGTCAATAACTTTAATCCTTGGATGTAGTATTTCTATCCCTGGTAGATCACATTGGCTTTCGATATATTAACATTTACGTAGCACTGGTAATGTAACCCATTCTTATTTACGGAACCCTAAGGTACTTTATGATAGAGTGGTCTCTTGAAAATAACCAAGGTCCCTTGAGAATATGACCCCTAAAGCTCTAAAACTGATTAATAATTATGAGTTCACCAATCAGAGAGATGTCGATGTATATTTTCAAACAAATTTTATGTTTTGTTACTTTCTAAAACCTCCCCCTCGCCATTTTAAGGTTAAAAATAAAAAATGCGAATAGTGGGTTTTGATGACAATTAAGTCAACCTAACTATGGTTGTTAAACCGTGAAATAAAGTGAAGCGAGCAATAAGTTTCGAAAAATAATTGCACCATATTAATTCGGGGAATTTTGAGCAAATTTTGTTCTTTTTCTTTTTTGTCCAATCTTAACCCAAATTCAGAAAAAGCTTTCAAAGTTTTGTTCGTTGTGTCGTGTTAATTTAAATCAGCACTGTATTACAAACCGCTCTCAGTGAAACAAGACAAAACACAAGTAGATGCCAGAATCAAACAAGACGAGATAAAGAAAACGAACCAAAAAAAAACAAAAGCAAAAGATCCATGTTGGGTTCAGATTGGAAGCTGCACAAAAACGGTGCTGGTCGCTTTTCAAAGCCATATAGCCAAAAACAATGAAGAAAAATTTGGGTACGTGAGTACTATATTCTGACTTGAGCTAAGTTTTTGATAGGGTAACCTTTACATATAAAATTGTTTGCTAATGGAGCCCACCAGTAACCCATATGTATAAACTGAATGGCAGATTTGCGATCTGAAAGACAAATTTTCGCAGAATTTAATATTATCAAATCAGCGACAGCCAAAGTTAACAAAATGAGTGCCAAAGTTAACAAATGAAATCCTTATAGTCATTAGTATAACATCTCAGTCTATGCATCCACTATCAATACAAATCTCTGAGCGAAGACAAACTATTTCAACTCAGAAGGAAAACTGAAGAAATAATAAATTAGAAACAATTATTGTTGATTTGAAGTTCATCTTATTCTATGCGTCGAAAGTGATTCCACTTCGGGCACTCGCCGGCCTCCAATTTAAATGCTATTTTATCCGAAGTTTTGCCCCGTAGACAAAAACATTATCAGTTAAGCTCGCAATTGAGCCTTAAAGTTAAGATTTACTTGGGAATCGACAGATACTTTTTGATTTATTTAAAATCAATTTTTAAAGTGAACATAACATTTTTCTGATTCAGTGATTTATGCTTGAATGAATCCATAGCGATAAGAAATGAACTGGAAGACAAAAACAGAGATCAAGAAACCTTTTAAAAAGGAGGGCTTCGTAAAAATCAATTTTACAAAATCTAGCTTGCTAAACATAGTGTATTATTACGAACCTTCTTTTTTTCTAACCTTCATTAAAGGTGTCACTTATTTGTGTTCTCTGCTTTGTTTGTGGCTGCTGTTTGTGATGTAATAAGCGGCCGTGGCTGAGTGGTTAGTGCGTAGGACTCATAATCGCGAGGTCGCATATCAAATCGGAGACATAGCCGAATTTTTACTAATTCGAGGTATATTTCTTTTTTTTATTACATTTAATAGAGCTGGTTTTTGCCGTGTTCTCGCTAGTGTTTGCGAAGCGAAGCTTTGCCTCCGTGTAAATTTTTTTGACGAGATTTTAAAAAACGGTCGAAAACCATGAAAATAGAAACGTGAATATAAAGATGGCAAAATCAGAAAATAGCCTGGTGGGAAACTAAGCGGATAACTTGAAGCCGACGCCCATGCATAAGCGCATGCTATCACAAAAATGATCTTCTCCATTAGAAAATTTAACCTGGGGTTTCAGTGGAAAACTGGTAACATCAGCTGCAGGAATTCTAATACCGAAATGTATACATGACTTGTACCCAAATTCAACAAAATATAAAAATATTTTAAAAATGGTTTATAGAAATCAGTTCCAAATAATTTTGATGATGATTTTTTTAAAAACAGTAAAGAATTGAAACGAAATTAGATTTGGAACCTCGTCGGACCAAAATTGTAACATGATTGGGTTGGATAAAATAGTCTTCGGACTAGAACAATATCAACTACTCTAACCATCAAGTCATGATAAATATTGCACATAAAAATACGTATTGAACTATTCATGAATTTTGACTCACATTTGAATTTTTCCGTACAGCGTTGAAAATGAGACAAATAAAGGACGGAAATAAAGTTTTTATAAACAGCGATTTAAACATCGTATGAATACAACTTCTGTTATAATTCCTTAAAAGCTGTACTCTGTAGGTTTTTCTGATGTTGGTTTCAAATTGCTAAACAGTGTCAGTAGGAACCTGACAAGTTCATAAAATTAATCTTGGAGAACTAAGCCCACAGATTCGATTCGAACGCCAAAAAGCTGAATAATTCGTTTAAAAAGTTAACCCGAAAACTACCAAGAACAATTTTCAATTAAAAGCCGTGAAATGCTAGTATATATGTGCATGAAGAAGCATCAAAAAAGCAACTAGAAAAAAATCTGCAAAATAACTATCGGCAAAAGTTCGATCTTAATTTATACAATGGTTAGAAACCTGGAAACATTTTTAAGAGGGATGAAATGGATCGTTTTAAGGAAAACTTAAGAGACACAAGAGTTCTATTGTTATGATTACTGTTTTTATTTTTTCAAACGTTCTTTCAGAGCATTGTGCAGTTTTGATATTTAATATTTCAGTGTCGCTCTCTGGATGATCTGCTGTTATCACTCGTGAATAAATCAAACGATTTAAAGGAGAACTACACCAGTGTCGAGTCGGTGCCGAACAACCTGTTGATATCCGACGAGTATTTTTCTCAGGATGCAGTTGACAAAGCTCTGAAAATTTGTCTAGATGAAGAAATAGTGAGCAAAAACAGAGTTTCGTGGAAAAGTTAGTTTCATTTTTGTTTCAGTATTAATTGTTTATAGCCCTGTTTGTATTGAGATAGTTGTATATGCCTTGCAAATAAGTATTTCTTTTTATTTCAACGTTCCTGATTGTATTTTTCAAACAAGCTGCACTTCAATTTCAGCAATTCCAACATTAAAATGCAACCAATTACAGTTCAATTTACAACTGATAATTTCAACTTTAATAATGTTTTATGAATCAGAATGACTTCTCTTTCTAAGAACTTGCAGAGGTGAGTCTGTAGTGTAATTAATGACAAAATAATTGAAAATTTTCATGTCATTGTTGCCATTAAAATCGGTGTCCTTGAGTTATTTAATCGGTTAAATTACATTTTCATACTGAGCTCGAGCAATGTTGAATTTCCAATGCAGCTGAAGAAACAAATGGAAATGCGATTAAACTTGACTGCCAAGTACACATGTTGAAGTCAGGTAGTTGTAAATGAATGCAGTTTTGTTGAAATATTTTGTCAGACTTTGAAAGTTAATGTAAACAGGTAAAGTATGAATATTATCAATAATTTTGAGTATTTGAAGCAATTTTAAGTCTATTTGACAACTTTTAAGCCTCATTTTGAGCGCGCCAAATTTAGATGTTTTACAACTGGCTGCTATTTTTTTCTTAAAAAAATTTGTCTTCAATTAAGCGATTGTGGTGTTTTAAGCATGGCTGGTGGGAAGTGCGGTTGTGTTACTCATCAGTGTGATCTCGATGACTGGAGCTCTTCTGATTCCGTTTATGAATGCCAAAATGTATCATTACGTGCTTTCCTTTCTTGTCGCTCTCGCTGTCGGATCCTTGTCGGGCAGCAGCATATTCCACTTGATTCCTCAGGTTACTATCACTTGCATGAAATCAGGATGTGTTTTTGAAAATCTCTACTGACCTATGTAGGCTCTTTTCCACTCACCCTCCCCCATTTTTCTATTTTATATTTGTTTCACGTGTAATTATGTAATTACGATGTAAAGTATGAAGAACAAATCAGTTCTCAATTGTCAGTTTGTTTACCCTGCTAATTTGATCGCATTATTGCATAATGTTAATGTTAAAATTGTTTTTCAAAATTCAAAGGTAGGTTGAAGTGAAAAAGCCCCTATATAAATAGGTCAGATTAATGAAGACAATATTCGAGGCTAAGAATGGCCAGACTTATTTATATACGGGCTCTTTTCCACTATTCCTACCTTTGAATATTGAAAAACAACTTAAACATTGTCATAATGCAATCAAACTTAACATCGAAAAAAATGTGAAACTACAAAGAAACTTCTTACAGCACAAAAAAAATCCCTGATGCGTCAACTAAGTCGACAAAATTCTGCCGGCAAACGAAACAGACAATTCAATTTATACCAAATTTTTTTAACCGGCCAAGACTCGAAACCCAAACCATAGTGTGCAAAGGCAACCGGGTTACATCTAGGCTAAGTTGGAAGGAAACAGTAAATTGTTAAAATTCAATAATAAACCAAGTTTAATGTATTACAGATGTCTAAAAAAATGTTTTACGGGAAAAAGTCTAGTTCCCGATTACAAGACACTTGCTCTCTCAAGTAAGAATTACAAACACTCCAAATAAAACAATGTATAAAACTCTATTACATAATTATGAGTAACACAATTATGTTTTTCGAACTTCTTGCACTGTAACTTAATTATGTTTAAATACCCCTGAAAAATTAATAGAGTTTTATACATTGTTTTATTTGGAGTGTTTGTAATTCTTACTTGAGAGAGCAAGTGTCTTGTAATCGGGAACTAGACTTTTTCCCGTAAAACATTTTTTTAGACATCTGTAATACATTAAACTTGGTTTATTATTGAATTTTAACAATTTACTGTTTCCTTCCCACTTGGCCTAGATGTAACCCGGTTGCCTTTGCACACACTGGTTTGTTTCGAGTCTTGGCTGGTTAAAAAAAAATTTTGGTATAAATTGAATTGTCTGTTTCGGTAGCCGGCTCAAGTTTTGCCGACTTAGTTTCCGCATCACGGATTTTTCTTGTGCTTTAAGAAAGTTTCATTGTAGTTTCAGCTTTGTTTCCAATAAAAATCGAATTTTTTTTCGCGGTTGACTTTTGATTTTTTTCGAAGTTCGTTTCATTTCCTTTGTTAAATGGAAGGAAAAATCTACTATCGAATAGCGAAAATTTAAAGGTCACAAAAAAAGTGATCGACTTCTAGTTTCGAAATCCAGTTTTCACTCTTGTTAGTTTGCGAGCGTTGTGTATTAGAACGAACCTCCTTTTTTCCAACCTAGCTCGCAAATAATAAATTTAATTAAAAGAGTTCACTTATTTGGTGACACTTTTATTATAATCACGATCTGTAGCACTGGAAGTTTCATAGCATCTGTTCTCTGCTTTGTTTGTGGCAGTTTTCTGGTTTATAATGCGCTCGTGGCTGTGTGGTTAGTGCGTGAGACTCAGTATCTCTAGGTCGCAGATCGAGTCTGAGACGTAGCCAGATTTTCACTAATTCGAGGCTTATTTCTACTTTTGCTTAGCACACTATTAGATCTGATTTTTCGTCGTGTTCTCGCCTAGTGTTTGCGAAACGCAGCTTCACCTCTGGGCCTCAGATTGGATAATTGTATGAAAAAAGTGAGACAATCTTAAATTGTTCTCGAAGTTCAAAGAGCTTACAGTGCATATATTTTTTCTTTGAAATTTGATAAAAACAAGTCAGTTTTTTTTTCAGTTTACTTCCGTTCAGTGACTCTTTTCCAACTGTCTGTTGGCTATGTTCAAAGTGTTTTTTTTTTTCAAAAATCATAATGTTTTTTTCGGCTCAACTTGTATCTGCTCAAAAACTGTTAGCTGTTTCCGCTTCGAAAGTTTTTTCCTGTGTTTTTTTTAATATTCAAATGTCTTGCTTTGCACGTTTGCCTAGAATGAATTTTTGTTGAGACATACGAAGATTTGTAAACTAGTTTTTCAGTATTTTTGAATATTTTCACCATCATTTTTTCGACTTATGTTTTTTTTATGTTCGTGTTGTATCGCAAGTGATGCGAAGCTACGCTACGATTTGCTTGTTTGTATGAATATTTATCGGATTTTTAGGCGTTCAATTTGGTGTCACCGGGAGGAGATCATGACTACCTGAACAAGGGTGCAATGGTAGTAGCTGGAATATACCTCTTCTTCATGACGGAACGACTTCTCAAGACCCTCATGCACTGGAGAAAAGTAAGAGAACAGAAGACACAATTGTGGCTCATAGCTAATTTAAATCTGCAAAAAGAAAAGAAATTTGTCTCTTATCTTAACATTTTTTTCAAACTTTAAGGATGTATGTTTCAGAGACTATCGGAATTTCTATGAAATGCTGTTTAATAATTGGTTTAAGGTTTTCACAAGTGCTACCGCCTGATAGAGCATAGAGGGAACCAGTGTTAGGTGCCACTAGATAGGCAAAATCTGCCTGTATAGCGTCCCTGGTGTAGTGAAATTACTTTTTTGCGTAGTGAAAAAGACTTTCTATCACATTTATTTTCATATAAAACTATTAGTAAAATGTGCTTAAATCGTATCTAGATGCGGAACGAAAACGATAAAAAGGTATTAGTACCCTATATTAACTGAAACAATTCAACTGATGCCATTTCTTCATTTTGAAATTGCAAAGTGAAATTTGAATTCATATTTGATTCTCGCGACAAGAGTTCGCAGAGCACTGATACTATTGAAGTGAGTGTTTGTGTACGAATTAATCTAATTCAATATTCAATTCAAATAAACCAGTCTTAAAAACGTCCCATGGGGTTCGATTGATTTATATCATTCTCAAAAACTATCGCGATTCAAGCTCTTTTCACGAAAACAGCAGTTTTTTTGTGGTAAAGTTTGCATAATGTAGAACGACGGATTTCTTTAAATTATATAGCCGCCTCGTTTTATTACTCTTGGGTAGTTAATTGGTTCCACTGCTATTATCAAAAAAGTGCCAACCATAATATATTCTTGCCGTTCAAAGAGCTCAAACGAAACAGAATCATTAATTTTTTCAGTTATCCTGAAATCATAGACACTTTTTCTATTGTCTGTTGGCTATGGTCGTAGCGTGAAAATATGCCGTTCAATTTTTGTTAATATCTTTTCTTCCGCCTGTTGCAACTATCCCTTAGACAACTGATTTTCTATTTCTTCGAATTTTATGAGCAGAAGTATCGTGAATTCAGTTTTGGCGTCTATATTTGAGTTTAAAAGTTATCGACAGAGTACAAAATATGTTTGCTCGACTTCAATGATCGATGGTAAGATGGCTAATTCACTTTAGTTGACTTTTTTCATTTTCGCGCTTAGTTTGACGTTGGAATAGGCTATTATTTGAGCCGTTTTTAAGATTCGATGAACTTAGTGAAGATTCCTATAAAAGTCAAGATGAATTTTAGGAAAGTCTCAAAATTGTTGAGGCTCAAATTTGATTTTTAAAAAGAAAGAAAACTCAACTGTTGAACAGCGAAAGTGTAAAGGTCACGTAAAACGCGATCAGTTTCTTGTTTTGAGAGTGAATTTAATTTTTCAGATTTACCAGAGGAATACAAAAATTATCTATCAATACAGTTTCTCAAAGTGGGTTAGTTCTTGTCTGACAAAAACAGGTATCAACTGGTAAATTGTATTCTCAATCGTAAATTTTTTTAAAGAAAAAATGGTACCAACTTTGATTTTATTTTCTCAACTGCCCTCCCAAATCATAGATTTTGGGTTAACTGGATAGAACACGTTGTGGGAAGCTCGACTGCGTAAGCGGTGACGCTCTAAATTTTTTTCGCAAAAAGTTATGACTCTCGGAAAAGTCAAATTTTCGACAGTTGAACCTTTTTTTAAAACTTTTCTCGAAAACTACCCCAAATCTGAAACTGTGGTTTCAATGGGTAGAACGGGTTGTTTGAAGCTCCACTGCTTGAACAGTTAAGCCTAAATTTTTTACATAAAAAATTATGACCCTGGGAAAAACAAATTTTCCATTTTTTGACAGTTTTTTGAAACGTTTTAATGTTTCGAAAACACACTCCGTCCCAATTCTGAGGTTTTTGGTTCATTCAAAAGAAAGCGTTGCGAGAAACTCACCTGTATAATCGGCAAATAAATCATTTTAAAAACGCAAAGGCTTGGTATAAGCAAAATTTATTACAAAAAAGTTATTGCCCTCAGAAAAGGCAATCTTAAACAATTTGTGGGAAGTCTCGGTGCATAAGCGGTTACGCCTTGAAATTTGCATTTAAATTGTTGTTTTGGGGAAAATTCACTGTGATCTGAAAAAATTTTCCAATGCAAATAAATACTTTTTTGAATTGGAGAAGCAGCTTGAGGTTTTTGTTGAATTTTGATCAAAAATTATCAAACCAGAACATCCAGCTTTACCTGGGCCCCTTGTTTTATCAAAAAGTGCCATCCATAGATAATTCCTGTCAGTCAAAATGCGCTACGGAAACTGAATCATTTTTTTTCAGTCTCTCTGAATTCACTGCCACTTTTGCTACTGTCTGTTGACTAGGTTCGTTGCTGGAATTTCTTGTGCGTTGAGTATTGGTAATTTTTTTCTCTTATCTCTTAGAACTCGCCGTGTTGCAACTATCAATTATACAAATGATTTTCTATTTTTTTTTCGAATGGGCGAAAAAAATTAGATTTTTCATTCGAAGTCTTATGCATTCAGTTATAGCGCCATAGCGTCTATATAGGAGTTGAAAAGTTGTCGACAGAGTACCAAAAAATTGTTAGACTTTAGTCATTGCTGGTAAGATGGTCAAATGCATATTTTCATATTCATTTCAATTAATTTTTGTGTATTTTTTCCCTAAGTTGCCGTTCGATTAGGTTTTATTGAGCCCATTTTTCAGGGACGATGAACGTTTTAAATAGGTCATAATGATTTTAATGTTTTTTTTCAGGAGAAATCTTAAATTTTATTTAGTTCGAATTTCTTTTTTTTTTGATATTTCTAAGTACAATTCGTTTCCTTTGCTAAAAGGAAGGTAAACTCCACTATCGAACAGCAAAAATTGAAAGGTCTATTTGGGTTTAAAGTTTCAGATTTCCCAGTGGAATCAAAATATCGATTAATCAAGTTCTCTCATTGGATTAAGCAACAATGTATCAACCATCAATAGCATTCAAGTTTTAGCATTCAAATAGATTTAAAGCGATATTTTTATGACCCGATGAACGTAGTTCAGACTCTTATAAAGGTCGCGATAAGGCAAACTCCATTATCTAACAGCGAAAGTGTAAAGGTCAGGAAAAACGTGATCGATTTCTAGTTTCAAAAGTGGAATTTAATTATCAATTTTCTCAGCGAAATGAATTGAAATTTTACCCATTCATCCATTTTTTTCACATTAGGTTAATTTTATCAAAAAGGGGCAATCATATTTTGTTCCAGAAATTCAAAAAGCTTTAAGGACATGTATTTTTCTTTGAAATCCGAAAGTTGAGATTTCAAAAAAATCTATTTACTGTTTACATGCGTTCATTTATTTTTTCCAACTGTATGTTGGCCAGGTTTTTTCTTAAGTTCAAAAATTCAGTTTTTTTTTCTGTTTACTTTGTTCAGTGACTCCTTTAAAACTCTCTTCTTGCTATATTTTGTGTACAGAATCGTAGCGTAGTGTGTTAATACACGGCCACATTTTCCCCAATTTAAATAGCAAATTTTGGTGCAGCTTTTGATGGCAGTATTGTTTTTTCAAAAGTGGTGGAAAGAGCGATTGAAAGACCGGCTACTTTATTTCCCTGTGTGCCGCAAATTAGTCAATACGTAGACATTTGTCTTGATGCTTTTTCGAAATATCGATCTCGTTTTTTGTTTTGATTTGTTCAAGTCTTAAGTTGAATCAGCTGCTTTTCTGATCGTTTTTGAGCCAGGTCTTGATTTAAAATTCAGCCAGATATTGACTTCAAATTCATTCAACCACGATTATACAATGAGGGAAAGGGCTAACATACGAGCTGTTCAAAGTTTTCTGGAGAACCGCTGAATCATGGTTAAGATTTATAAGCTTTTTGGTTTATTTTCTGAGCTGGCTTAATGTTGCCTCAAACTTACGACGTGCCCCTAGAGAGGCTGTGACGTAACCACTTCGCCAATGCTCCCTTTTTTGAAAGTTCATGCATTCCGAGAGTTGTTTGTTTGTTTTTTAATGCTTTGTTGGTATCAAAGTTTTGCTGAATTTGTTTAGTTTTTTTTTTTCAAATTAAATTTATGTGCTGAATATGGTTTCAATTCTTCGTTGATGCTGAAAAGAATTATAACAGCCATCACCTGTATTCTGTCCCTAATTTTTTTGTTAAGTGTGTTCGTTTTGATAGCATTTTCATAGCACAACTCAAATTTTTATCAACAAAGACAAATGTTCAATGGGAGCTGAAGTTCATTTTTTTTCGTTTCAAAATCTGGATTCATTTGGCTGGTTTAGATGAAACGAAAATGAACTTTTTTCTTCTTTTTTTTGCCTGTGTGAGCAAAAGGTAATCTGCATAGCATAAAGTAATTGCCTTGCCTGTGTAATCTGCTCAAGATATTTCCGGTTTTTTGCTAGATTTGGAAAATTATTTCCTGAAAAATGTTCCTATTTTCTTTGACGATTTCAATAGTTTCTGTATTGGAAGTGACGCGAGGCTTCGCTTAGCCTCTGTTCCTGAAGCATCCGTGGTCGAGTGGGTTAGGCACATGTCTCTCAACACGAGGGTCATGCGTTGAATCCGGCTTCGGTCACGGCTGGAGGGGTCCCAGTGTCATCCGCCTCCTCAAGGTGGGACCGGCTGCGGCAAAATGGATGGCATCTCCCCCTCCCCCATGGTTGGCCCTGCACTGAGCAGGCCGGGGGCTAATAAAAAAAGCATCTGTTCGTAGCACCTGTCTAAAATGGCATTGTATACGATTTCACTTGTCGACGATATCATTTGCAGCGCTAGTCCGGTAGTTCTAGGTATCTAATAACTTACTATGATATTAGGATGTCTGTCTTCATTATATTTTCAAATTGTACTTCAAAATGCGCCGTAAAAGTTATTAATAAATAGATTTATAAGAGTTTTTTAACTAGAATCGCTTCAAGAATGAGCATCGGGATGAAAATGGGGAGCCGACTTCTCAGGGCTTGCCGCCAATCTGCTCAGTGCATGTGCGCAACTATCATTACGAGGACAATTGCTGCAAGGAGCCGACTGTCGTTCTGCGCCCGACTACTAGTCATAAAATGAGCGAAAGCGACACCTCTCGTGAGTTCATTCATTCCATGTACTTTCTTCTATTTACAAAAATAGTTTGACGCTGGACTTTGAAGAAAAATTTTGTAAAAATGGCTGCCTCGTTTAAACGTAAATGGGTTTAATTACTGCGAGATATTTTCTTTTCCTTCGGGAAAAACAACAATCAAAGATAATCTCGCAATGATTTGATATAACAGCATATCTGTTTGCTGTAGCTGATATGTTTCACTTGAAATCAACATGAATGCCTCACAGTATAGTTTAAAGTGCATTATTATTAAGAGTAATGAACGTAGTTAGTACTCTTATATAGGTCTTGCTGATTTTTTTTTTGTTTTTTTTTCAGGAAAAAGTCTTAAAATTTGTTCACGCTCAATTTTGATTTTTCGCGGTTTGACTTGTGATTTTTTTAAGGTTCAGTGCATTTCCATTTTTAAAAGGAAGTCAAACTCCACTATCGAACAGCAAAAGTGTAAAGGTCACGAAAAACGTGATCGACTTCTAATTTCGAAATTGGAAATTAATTATCAGATTTCCCAGTGAAACAAAAGTTTCACCTATTGATCCAGTTTTCTCAAATTGGGTTAATTTTAACATAAAAGTGTCCATCATAAAGTGTTCTACAAATTCAAAGAGCTTTAAGGACATCTATTTTTTTCGAAATTCAAACGTTGAAACTTTTTGAAAAATAAAGTTTTTTTTTCAGTTTTCTTGCGTTCATTACTCTTTTCCAACTGTCAGTTGGCTATGTTTATTATTATTGTCAGACTCCTCCAAGTGTCTTTGGCTTTTTTGTATATCTATGTATGTACGAGTGTGGTGGCGTGTAATTTCAGCCTGCTCTTCTGTAGACGTGGGAGTTGCAGCGGACCCTCATCTGACAGAGCACAATGGCACCGACTCCTATTCGCCCTCTGATCCCCTGAACGGAGGAAGCGACATACACAATAGAAAAGTATGCATTTCACTCATTTCACTTTCATTGTCAATTCAATGCTGATGCTTATGGTTGTTTGTTTTGTCAGTTAAGCATTTACGGTTGTTTTGTTTTAGAAAAACAAGAAAAACACAGGAGGATGCAAACATGGACACCAAGTAGACACCTCGAGGCCTATTGGCTAGTTGATTTATTGTTCATTGATTCTTCTAAAAATTAATAATCGCGTTTAAGTAAATCATTGAAAAATTCAAGTCTATGAATTAACCAATACATGCTCAAAGTGAATCATCTAGATATCTGTAAAATTTTATGAGACACTTGAGTATAAAAGGTTGCATTCAAGCGTTTGAGCTTTGAAGTTTTTTTTCAAGCTTCTAGTTTCTGAAATTAAATGAGAAGTTTCTCTTATTTTTGATTCTGGTGTTATATGAGTGCCGGGCATCAGGCCGACGGGACTTCCAGTCGAATCTTTAAATTAGGGACTTTGAGCCAAAAAAATTTCTCCAAATTACGAAATATTTTTGAGCCTTCAAGATCTTTAAGACTGTTTTAAAGAGTTTCGCAATTTCATGATCTTTCTTCTTTACCAGCTATCGGCTTTTTCATAAATTTTGAACCTCTAATTGATGTTTAGGAGCTAAAAATTATAATATTATTCGAGATTTTTTATTGTGTATAATAATTTCCATTCAAAATGCGGCTGACGTAACAAACGGATGCCATTTCCAAGTTGTGCATTGTCTGGAATAAAGCTTGTTATTGATTAAACTTGCTTAAATTTTGAAAACTAACATTGTTAAGATGAAAAATGAGCGTTTTGATGTACTTGTAAAGTTTAAATTTCGGCCCGAAGTCCCTTCGGCTTGCAGTTATGTCGGCCTGTTGTCCTAGACCCGTGTTGTATATACGGATTGTCAAATAGGAAGATAAGAAACTAGGTCGAGTGGTGTTATTTTTTCAGGAAAAAGATTTGCATGTTGCACACGCTCAATTGTTTTCGCGAATTGATTTTGATATATTTTTGATTCATTTGCAAAATAGAAGACAAATATCAATCTCCAATAACAGAAGTAAAAGTGGTCAGATTAGATTTACAAGCAGAATAAATAAAAACATGTATGCGTCCAGTTTTTTCAAATTAAACTTATTTAGGTTTCTGATAAGCAGGTGCGAAAATAATTTAAGCTATTTAATTTAGCGGTAACGAGTATATTTGAATGAAAACTTTCTTTTTCGCTAGTTTTATGCAGGAAATTGATGGTTTCGAAAATATCTATATCTGCAATTTTTTTTCATGGAAAGACCGTTAAATATTTTCTACCAGTTTTTTTATAGCGAAATACGCTATTCGGCCTTGGATCATTCGTATACGAGCGCTGATGCCAAAAATTCTGGAAAATAACATATTAAAAAAAAACGTTCTATTTTTCATTTACTCAGTGGCATCCAAATTAGTAGTTTGCTGATCAGCGGTTTAAATTAGCTCTATCAGAAGACTGATCTAAAGAGTGTCAATCATAAAAGGTTCTCTTTGATGGAAATTTTAACTGGTGTTTTTTCCCAATTCGAAATTGGAAAATGCTATAAAAATTAGTCGTTTTTCAAATTCCTGTAGTACATTCAGTTCAGTTCGTTCACCGGTCAGTTGGCAAAGCTGAAAAACTTAAAATGCGACCCTTCCTGTTAGTGATGCTGTTCATATATGCAGTTGAGTAACCTAAAGGTTTGATGTTTCAGCTACTGTAGCTTGGATGGTTATTTTTGGCGATGGAATTCACAACTTCATTGATGGCTTAGCAATTGGTTAGTTCTTTTGATCAAATCTTATCTTATTACAGATGGCATGTAAATCGGAAGTGATTAATTGCTGATTATTTTGATCAAGTCAATTGGGTTGAACGTTGATAAAATAAGGAACTTGCTGTTTCGGTGAAGCCATGCTACAAAACAAAGGATCTTAAAGAAAAATATTTCTATTGGGATCTTGCCAGGGGAGGATCTAGGATTTTCTCGAGGGGGATTTTCAAATTGACAAACTTTTGAAGAAAAAAACACTCAACATTGAAGAAAAAACACTGTGCTCTCCTAAACAAGTATACCTTGGTATACCTTTACAATAATTTGAGGTTGGGTCGGCCAAAAATGGATGCAATAAAATAATAGCAAAGTGGACCTTTAAGTTGGTGAGGGGATCGAATCCCTGACTGCTTCCTCTAAATCCACCCTTGGGTGTAGTTAGTTTTGCAGTGTCTTTTACACTTTAACAGATATAACGACCCGGCTGTCATGTGTTAGTAGTCTAAAGTGATTATGTTCAGGTGCTGCCTTCGTGACTAGCACCGTGGCAGGACTGAGTACCTCAGTGGCAGTGATATGTGAGGAACTGCCTCACGAACTAGGAGACTTCGCCATTCTGCTCAATGCAGGCATGACCTGGAAACAGGCTCTCTTCTACAACTTCCTCTCCGCCACCAGCTGCTTCGCCGGTCTGTTCGTCGGCATTCTGCTGGGAGAACTGGCAGAAGCTAGCGGCTGGATTTTCGGACTAGCTGGAGGAATGTTCCTCTACATATCTCTAGTCGATATGGTTAGTGTTATTGTTTTTAATTAGCTTCTCTTAAAAGTGAATGTTAATAAATCTAAGCTGATCTTGGCATGGAAAAAGAAATTCTTTTGGTTATCTAGCTCACTGACTCATTTCAGTCTGAATTATTTTTTGAAAAATTCATGTTTGTTCTCTATTCATCGTTTTCATTAGTTTTCATTTAACAAAATTTTGATTGCATTTGATTATTGAACAAATATTTTACCCAGATAAAACATCTCCAAGTTTCAAGGATATTCTGAAATTGCTTTTGATTGATTCGGTTCTATTTATACAATTTATTAAGGAGTTTTAATCCCTCTAAGAGCTTCATAAAACACACCTGTTCATTTAAGTGGTTGCAATAAGATTTAACTTAGTGTGATAATGAACTTAAAATATTCAGTTCACGATTTGGTTCGACGTTATCAGTCAAATCAATATAAAGGGATCTATATCATGTTTTTTGACATGCTATTGCTGCAATTCTTTTATTGCATTTTCAAAGACTCTTTAACTTTGTTTTCATGTCCACTCAGTTGAGCCATAATCTAATGGAAAAGACTGTCCGGGGCCGTTCAGCAGTACCGAAAGAAAACGATGCCCAAAAAAAATTTGTTCAAGACTGGAGAAAAAAATAAGTTGAACAGTGCCGAAATATATTTTTTTTCTTCAACTGTGCCGAAAGCTGAAAAAATAAGTTTGAAAGCTTGAATTATTGCTTATAATAGATAAAACAACGTTTTCGATATTTCCACCTTTAAGATTTCTTGATGCATACACTCGTTCAATGCTAATATTTGCTCCTTTTCTTTAATTTTTTTGGTTTCGGTGATAAGTCTGTTATGGAAGGTTCTCGATAGTTTTTGGATTTTTCTTTGGTTAAAATCGACATTTTTTTTAAATCTAAACATTTTTTCAGTTTTCACATTTGTTCCTGGTGAGAAATGAAGCTAGGCTATCATACATGTTCCAGACATTTTTAACGATAATGCACGTTGAGCCAGTTTTCTTTCGAAAGACTCAAAAATTTTCGAAATTTTTTTTTGAATTTTCTGAGTCTGCAACAATAAAAAATATACAATAATTAAAAATTGAACCAAAAAATGAGAACAAAACTTTTAAAAAAGCAGCAACAAGGTTTTAAAAATCATCTCGCAATGTATACGAATGTAAAATCCTAGAAATAGCAATTGGAGCCGACTTAGTATGAGACGAAAAACAACACAACAGACTAAAAGCTTTTAAAAAATGAGGCGATAATAGATCAGACGAAAAAATTCTGACATGTTTACTTATGTAATTTCGCATAAATTTGAAATAAAAATTTTATTTGCGGAGCTTTACATTATATTTCTGCCTCGTTTCGGTTCTGAGGTAGATCGGTTTCGGGTAGCTGGTTGATTGGCAACATTTCATTTCATGCGTAAATTAACCGTAATTATCGGAAAGTACAAGTCAACAAAGAATATCGAACTTATATAAACTTCAGTATGTAAAAGCAGAATTCAATGTCATAAAATACGCAAAATGAAAACATAAATATATCAATTTTAAAAGAGCGACTGAGCAACTTGTGAACTGTGTGTCGATCTTTTATTTTTTTAAAAAATTTTTCACACACTGTTTCGTTCACCGGCAAATTCATTAGTTACGACCTTGGTTTTTCTCGCTATAAGTTCTAGCAAGAACGCATTACTTGAGATACAGATGAAAAAAATCTAAAAACGTTAAGATCTCAAGTTTTTGATTTTTCAGTCGTAAAAAGTTCCAAAAAAAAGAGTCCGGCTGTCGGCGAATTCTTTTTTTAAGCTTATTTTCTCATGAAATATTTTCAAATATGAAGCTGCTTTTGCTATTGTTTGCTTGTGTTCGAGAAGAAAGCGTCACCTGTGTAAAGAGCCTACTACGGTGCACTTTATCAGATCAGGCTGAATTAATACAACCCAAGTTGCTAATGAAAATGAAAATGGAGCGCTTTGGATTTCCTTACGGCAGAATTTAATGATTTGTTTAAGGACCATTTATTCTTCTCCAATATGCTCGACCCTGGAACTGAAAAATGTAGTTAAGATTTCAACAGATGAAGCAATCAATAGATCAAATTTCTCAATCGTCTCTATTCGATGTAAGAGCTATAAAGTGGGAAAAGTAAGATAGACTGATTCGGTTGTTTAGATGCCAGAGATGTCGGATGCAGCCAGGGAAGACCCCTCAAACCAGCAGGAGAACTCCCATGCGCAGTTCCAGAAACTTAGGAGCAGTAGTAGTCACGGCCATGCAGACACTTCAGAAGTGGACTTCAAACTGAAAGACAATCATTCGCGTGAACATGTGCCAAAGAGTTCACGCGGAGAGGAAGACGAAGGAGCTCCGAGTGTGAAGATGTTGATGTTGCAGAGCGGCGGAATGGTTCTAGGATGGGTGCTGATGTTCGTGTTTGCCAAGTACGGCGAAGTGTTCACGAGGCTGTTCTAGCCGAAATCCCACGATGAACACAAAGATGACAAACAGTCTAATAAACAGACCTGAGCCAAGAACAGAGAGACGATCAATGAAATGAAATGAAATGAAGTTAAATTAAGATGTGAGTCTTTTTGAACTACTAAATAAACTCGATCTATCGCTTATTATATTGTTGTTTCAAAAGCTATAAAAACTAAAAAAAAAACAGTATGTATGATAAAAAAAGTAACCTTTTTCCTTCTGAAGTGTGAGTGTGCTTCTGATATTTGTTAAAATCAAAGTATAAATTTGTATAAACTCTTTGATCGTTCCTTGATTTGGGCCTAGATATAAGACTAAGTACAGTCAGAGTAATGAGTAGCGCATTATTGCACGAGGGTTTTTTATCCACCGCTTCCAAAGCGATAATTGCGAAAATGAATGGCTTCCATTCTCCATTTTTGCTCCAAAGATTTGATTGTGCCAATTTTTGTTTTCCTTTTTCTGGAGTTTTTCTTGAATGCGTGCTCAAAGCTGAGACTGCTTATAATCGATGCTATCAGTTGTTTGTAAATCTAGTGATTTATTGCTTTTGTTTTTGTGTCCACCTTGTAAACTTTTTACATCAACCTATACAGCAACGACTTAAAATCAACTAACGCATTGGACAACGGTGCACTGTTTTGGGGAGATCAGAGTTATATTTCTGAACCGCATTCTGAATCTGGCACAATATTTTAAATATTTAACATCTACAACTTAACTAATGAATACTTTTTTTCGGCTGTTTTGGCATTTGATTACAAACCATATCCAGCGCCGTTGTCCTAAAAGCTGCAACAGAATGAAATGCAATTAAGCTAAATGAATTATTAATCGGAGTTTAATTCATCAATACTTTGAAGGCTCAAATCTGTGCAGAAATAAATTGTAAACATCCGTGATGCAAATATTAATTGTTGTGAATGCGGAATATTTTTTTGCACATAATATTTTTTATTTGTTCAATCTGGGCTTGTAACCGGTAATGTTTTTACTCAAATTGGGTACAAATTTTAGGAGGCCCCACCCTGAGGAATTGGTCTCCTTCTTATAGTACTATTTTTCGTAGAGGCGACACAGAGCGAAAAAATCAAGTATAAAAACAAGCCGCTTACAAACGGTTAGAAGCTAGTTTCTTGAAATTGCGCTTTAAATTGTATTATTAAAAAGACATTGCAAAATAATTTCACCATCGCAGAAAGACGCAAAAAAGAACAAATAAAGCAACAAAATGCGGGAAAAAATCTGAATAAAAATTCTAAAAAAAAAATAAGACATGAAATAATTGTGGAAGGCGAAGAAAGCTTAATCCCAGCTACAGTTACGGGAAATAGAAGTTAAACTTTTTCTTTGCAACTTTACAATATAGAGAGTTCAAACTTTGACAAATCGTAGATGAAACTATTTGGAAGGACTTAACCGGGCCAAAGTTAAAGAATCGTAAAATAAGCCATATTTCGAGGAAGATTCAATTCTTTCAATTCTATATTCTGTCGTTTTTTCAAGATAGAGTAAGTGAAGCTCATTATCTTCCGAGAGAGCTGATTTTAGCCCATAAATTCAAATTCCTTATTTTGTTTGCAAGGTTATTTCCACAGCAAGATCATCTATAAATTTAGTTATGACTCACAGGCTAGTTTATGCCTTCAAAACGGTTTTCGACACTTCGACAAAGTCCTTCCAAATAGTTTAATCTAGTTTTTGTCAAAATTTAAACCCTATATCTTAAGTAGTTGGCGAAGAAACGACCAAAATGTCAAAATAATTCGTTCATTTTCTGGTTCCAATAACAAAACTGCAACTTTGTGTGTTGTGACTGTATAACTAACTATATAGACTCCATCGGACAAAAACTATTAAGAGTCGTTGAACGTTTGTTAAGATAGATGATTGTTCTCAAAATTTAATGAGCGCTAAAGCTTAATATTTTTATTAAGAAATTCTAAAACCTGAGGTTATTCAAACAACAAGTCTGTATTTTTTTCTGTTTCCTTGGTTTCATTGAATCTTTTCCAACTATCTGTTTGCTATGTTCTTTGTTATTTGTTTCAATGTTGGAAGACGAAAATTGTTAGAAGCTCAACCATCATATTCTTCAAGCTTAGTGTTATATTACGGGTCCTTTTTCAGTCCAATTCGCATATGGAAGTGTGCATTTTGGTGGCTCTTTTACGGCATAGTACTAGCACTTAAATAGCACGTGCTTTCCGTTAGGCTTTTTTCGCATTTGATTTCTGGGTGACTAATATTTTGAATTGTAAAGTGTCTGTGGCACAGTTTGATAGAAGACTCGACTTCGATGATCGAATACTTAAGCTGGGTTGGCGTCGGGGTAACTAATTTTCACTAACTTATTATTTTTGTTTTGCCTTTTTCTTTTTGGCGTTTTCGATGGTGTTCTCAAAGTGCAGAATCGCACATTTTCTGTTTGTTGCTACATCGATTTATTAATTTGTCCCCAAAAATGGTTAAATCTCTATCCTGTAATCGAAACTAAACAAATGCAACTGCAAAAAAAGCGAATGTGATTATTGCTTGAAAACGCACGAATCAATCGAAAGTAACCTGAATTAAATTTTATTTAAAGGTTACCTAACTTCTTTTATAAAACCAGGTTTTTTTTGTTTAACTCGAAAATTTTGTTGTATAAGTTCTTGCGAAGTTGCTTGCATGGGGCTGTAATTGGTGTAGTTATGCCAATGTCATTGTGTTTGCCTGAGTTTGGCAGCGAAATATAAACGATTTCTTAAAATACTATCGAAGCTGAAAATTTGATAGATGAAATAGTGAAAACAAAATTTTTTGTGCTTCTTGGAGTTTGTTAAATGATTGCAATTTTTTGAAAGCAAAGTTTTGAGACTTTTTGGATTGATATTAGGTATGAAATCAACCGTGAAGTAACGTTTTGCAACCCTATCCAAAAAAAGCTTCTAATGATCTTCTATAGAAATATTTATAACAAGAAGTTATCCTGACACAACGAATGAAATTTGAAAAAGTTTAAGTGACTATTTCTCAATTTGGATTGACTTAAGACGAAAAAAAAGATAGAAATATAGCTTTTTTTGCAAAATTCGGGTCCAAAGTTTTTCCCCAAAATATCAAGTTAAGCTTTTCTTAGTTAATCAGAAGTTACGCTTAAATTTTTGGTTCGATTGCTATCAAAATTACAGCGAAGTGCATATAACGTTGCATGTTTTTCACTTGCTTTTTGTGACATTGAAATTCAAGGATTACTCTGCGCTTTTGGCGCAATTGTAAAGAAATATTTTTTAAAGAATTTATTTATTAAAAATTAAAGCAAAGAAAACATACAATGCTCATTGAAATTATCCTAACAACGAATGAAAAGTGAAAAAAGTAAAGTGCCTAATTCAAAAATTGGTTTGACTTTTGACAAAAAAAGATCGCCGTTTATCTTTTTTTTTGCAAAATTTGGGTTCAAATTTTTACCCCAAAATATCAAGTTAAGTTTTTCTTAGTCAATCAAAAGTTACGCTAAAACTTTTGGTTCGATTGCTATCAAAATTATCGAGAAGTGCGTTTAACGTTGCATATTTTTCACTTGCTTTTTGTGACAATCAAATTCCAAGATTATTCTGCGCTTTTGGCGCAGTGGTAACACTAATGATAGAGTTGGCAAAGTCCTGGAGTTCAATTGCAGTCGGAAATCTGTTTTTCTTAAACTAAAAATTTCAGCTATTTCATACTATTGTCTGTCATCCTTTTTTCTAGGCCTAGTTTACACAACGGGTGTTTTTTAAGTGTTTCTTTTTTTCTCATTTGCCCAATTCTGTAATAAAGTTCTTAACGGTGCAGGTAGTTGAGTTCCAGATTGTTTTTTAGAATAACTTCCAATTTTTTGAATTGTTGACCGGAAACAATGTTTTATTTTTTTGTGGGAAGCTCATATTTGCCTCTTTTTTTAGTATGATTCGTCAAGAAACACTGTCAAAGATGATATAACAATTGATCATATACAAAAGCGATTTAAAAAAAGATGTTCCAATTACATAAAGTCTTGCATGCACTTTGAATTTTGGATATTTCACATGGGGCTTTAAATGGTGTAGTTATGCCAGTTTTATTGTGTTTGCCTGAGTTTGGCAGTAAAATCTACAGGATTTCTGAAAATACCATCGAAAACGAAATTTTTTGTCATCCTTCTTTTTTTAGGCCTAATTTCCCCAGCGGTTTTTTAAATGTTCAACTTGTTTTTCTCATTTGCCCAATGCTCGAATAAACTTTTTAACGGTGCAAATAGTTGGGTTCCAGATTGTTTTTTAGAATAACTTCCCATTTATTGAATTATGTTGACCGGAAATAACTTTTTTAATTTTTTTTTGTGCGAAGCTCATCTTTGCTTCTTTTTTAGTATGTTTTGTCAGGAAACACTGTCAAAGATGAATCTAGTTTTTCATATAACAATTGACCATAAACAAAATCGATTTAAAAAAAAAAGATGTTCCAATTACATAGTCTCACATGCACTTTAAATTTTGGATATTCCACATGGGGCTTTAAATTGTGTAGTTACGCCAGTTTTTTTGTGCTTGCCTGAGTTTGGCAGCGAATTCTACAGAATTTCTGAAAGTACCATCGAAACCAAAATTTATAAAATCTATAAAAAAGTGAAAAAGAAAAGTTGTTCTGCTTCTTAGAGTTGATTAAATGATTGCAATTTCTGTGATAGCAAAATTTTGAGATTTTTGGATTGATATTCCATTCGAAATCTACGGTCAAGTAACCTTTCGCAACCCTATACATAAAAAAACTTCTAATGATTTTTAAAGAAATAGGCTTTTCTTAGTCAATCAAAAGTTCCGCTGAAATTATCGGTTCGATTGCTATCAAAAAATATAGCGAAGTAAGCCTATTATGACTTATGAAGGCAATAAAATTAAAAAACGAAAATTTTGAGGAACGAGTGCAAAATTGTTGAAAAACTTTCTCAAAAATTTGATGAGTTGTTTTGTAAAAAAGACCTTTATTGATAAGGAAAAAAAAGAAAATTGAAAAAACTATACCTTTTTCAAATTGTTTGGGCTAGTTAAGAGGCTCACTTTGATATAGTTTTAATAGCAAGTAAAACGATAGTTTTGGCGTTATTTTTGATAAACTAAAAAAAGCCAAGTAGATCATTTTTTTGTGTAAAACTGGCGTGTTGTTAAATAAAGTGCATCATTTTGTTTCTTGGAAAATTCGAATTAAGTTTTGTCCACCTTAATTTTCGTCCAGTGTTATCCCAACTTGAAAAAAACGCGTTTCAATTTTCCAGTTTTTTTTTGTCCAGATAATTTTAATCTGCACTATAGATACTGTTATCCATAAATATTTGATCAGCATAACTTTGCCAATGACATATGTAGTTATTAAGTAACAGATATAAGCATTGATTTAATCAACTTCAAAAAGGTGTATTTTTTTTCATTCTGCATATGGGTGTAATTTTATTTCTATGCAAGATACCAACCATGACTCAAATGAGCGTTAAGTAATCAAGGAATTAAAATGAGCGTTAAGTTAAAGTGCTCTCTATACCTTTTCATAGTAAATTATAAACCCGAGACTTCCTCTATCCTATCTAGTCTTCGTCATATTTACCATGGTAAGAATCCAAGATATTATGTTCCAGCAGAGCAAATTTATCGATTGGAAATAAAACCAAAAAATTTAAAACCCGACCAGAAGTCGAACTCTGGACGCTATGAGCTTCAAGCAAGTTCTGTTTTTTATAGCAATTGGTAAATTGAACTACACAAAATGATTTCTTATGACAAACACCACTCAAACTTTTACACTGTGATACGAAGGGTTGTTTTATGAAAGGACCAGATTGAAAGAAGCAAGAAAAACGCTAATAAGGTTTTCACCCTTGCGATAAACAGGGACGTTGCGAACGCGTACAAGACTATTTCTTCCAAAAACAAACTTTGTGCACAATTCCCACGTGAAAACGACGCATCTTTTTCACTTGCTTTTTAAGAGCTTCAAAATTAAGGGTCATTCTGCGCTTTTGGTGCAATTGTAACAGCAATGATTAAACTAGCAAAGTCCTGAAGTTCGATTACAGTCGGAGATCTGTTTTTCTTAACCTAAAATTTTCCGCTATTTCAGACTATTGTCTGTCATCTTATTTTTTTTCGGCTTATTTTCCACAACGGATCTTTTTTCATGCTAAACTTTCTTTTCTAATTTTCCCAATGCTCTAATAAAATTTTTAACGGTGGCGGTAGTTTAGTTCCAGATTGTTTTTGGTATAATTTCCAAATGTTTTAATTTCTGTTGACTGGAGACAATTTTTTGATTTTTTTGTGCAAAGCTCAACTTCGCCTCGCTGTCTTAATATGACTCGTCAGGAAATATTGTCAAAGATGTGAATCAAGTTTTTCATATATACTAATTGACCAATAACATAATCGATTTTTGCAAAAAACGTACCTTTAACATGTTTACTTTTTGCTGATTTCTGATAAAGAAGCTTTATGTGGGGTAAAAATAAACAGGAGGTAAAAATCCAAAGGTCAAAAAAATATGTGGATCAAGAATATAGTGTCAAGATGCGCCTTTCTACCTTTTTTGTTTGTTTGAATTCAATTGACGCCTTGTTTATATTTTAAAACCTGAGCTAAACGCAGACTTGTTAACGGGCCGCCATAATTGAGGCCCGGCCCGGCCTGGCCCGATATAATTCAAGTCGAGCCCGTTGGAGGCCCGATAAACAGGGAATTTATTAAATATCGGCCCGTTGGGGCCCGTTGCTGCTTTTTTGGTAAAAAACAAATTTGTTTCAAAACAATTTTAATTAATTGTTTTACTTATTTATAAAGACCTTTTTTAAAAGCCATGGAAACCATTTCAATTGTGAATCGGCATTGAACTTAGTAGTCATGTCGTTTAGCACACTGCAAGCTGTACAGTTCGCACTGAAACATAACATTAGTTAGTCAATGAAAGTAAGGCCCGTTGGGGCCCGTTGACAAAATTGAAAACCTCAGCCCGGCCCGTTGACAAGTATGGCTAAACGTTTAAATCATTGTTGGATTTTACTGTAAAATCAATCAATTTTTGTTTTCGCATTTTGCCTCGTTTTTGCACTTTTGCTAGTTTTTTATCGTTAATTTTGATAGTTTCATGTTTTCAAATGCTGAATCTAACTTGCCTTAAGCGATAATTTTCAATCAATGTTTCGAATCTTTTCCATTGCCGCCGCTCCAGTAATAAGATTAATCAAATAAACATGCACGGAAAATAGCTTATGCACCTTTTTATGTATGCATAACTAGTAACTCTTTGCAGCGCTAGCCTCAGCACAAATAAAAGAAGGATGCATTTTTGTATGAATCTGTTTTTTGAAATTGTTTAAAATAATGGCTAATTTTTTCACTCAAAAAGTAGATTTGTAATCGCTGAGGTTTTCTTATTACTCAGCTGATATTTTCTGAGTAGGAGCTGCAATCTACAAATGCATGACTGTAATTACGTTCTAATAAATTGACAAAAAAAACTTCAAGGAAATAATTGCTCCCAAAAAACAAATCTAAAAGAAATCCAGGATTCCAATTACTTTCAACAGATGAAATTTTATCGAAAAAAGATGAACCTTCAACAAATTTGTTCTGTGGGAACTAAGTCGACAAAATAAGATGACTGGCGATATTCCGAAATAGCCGAAAATTTTTCGTTTGCGAAAAAAAAACAGGTCCCGATTTACATAAATCTGCAAGCCTTTGTCGTCCCTAAGATTGGTGTTACAACTGCACCAAATGCGCAGAATATTACTTAAAAATGAATTTAACAATGCAAGTAATATATATAGTACGCTTTTGCATGCGAGTTCTGTGAACAACGTTTTTGACTGGAATGAAGTATCTTAAATGCGTTTAAAACAATCTTGCTTATTTCAAGGGTGAAAAATTTTTAGGTAGGTCTTTCTTCGCACTTGCGAGATCAAATTTCTTAAATTCGATTCTTTTTTTTTCAGGAAAAAAGCCGTATTACAATGTAAAAAATTGTGTGATGTTTATTATAACCTGTAAAACATCATTTTGTAGATTGCAATTTCCCAAATGCTGTAATAAAACAGCATCTGTTTGAAGCTCATAGGGAGTGTCCGGGATTGTACTCCCCGATGAAAATAAGGTATTTTTTTGCCCCATCGCTCCTCTTCTCAAATATTTTTGGCATATTTTTAGTTTTTTAATCAATCAAGGTAATGTTATTCAATGAAACATAACGTCTAGGGTTCTAACCATGTTATATAGGACGGTTGAAAAACGAAAAAGTTTTTGGCCGTTGATTTTCCGCCTTTTAGTTTTCAATTGAAACTTCGTTGATTTCTTCATCGAATAGTCAGTTGTTTTCATCGTGTTGGTCTTTGCGAGATTTTTTGTTCAAATTGCGACCAAATCTGTTCCTTAGACCAAATACTACTTGTTGCGAACCTAATAATTTGTACGTTGAAAAAAACAATTTTTTGATTATTTTGTGTCGCAAAAAGTTTTTCAGATTAGTTACAGCAGATCAAACTGTTTAGCTGCTATGTAAGCTAACTACTAACTTTAAGACATTTTTCGCCGTTTCGCTTCTGAGCTTGATTTTTTTTTAAATTTACAGCCAAATTTTGTTGTTTATTTTTAAGATTTTAGAATTATAGTTCAAGTTGAGGCATAAAACAATTTTTTCATAATAGTTGTTGCTGCCTAAAACCAACCTAAGTTTATAAACAGTTTTTTGTACGTCGATTTGTGCTGACGATTATCAGCACTTTTCCTCTTTTTTGTAAAAGGTATCAAAAAGTTCCGCTAGCAGACTCTCTTGAAACGTTTTTTTTTTATTTTTGAGTTGCTGAAGTCGGAACAAACGTTCGGTTATTGATGATTTCCTGCGATCGTCAAAGATCTGACAAGTTCTTCAAGTGTGGCTTCTATGAAAACGAGTGTAATAGGAACGAGACAATTTTTCAGGGGAGGCGCTTTTCTTAAATCTTTTCCCGAAATAACATTGGCGGCCAAAAGCGCATCAAATTTTTATCCAGCAAAAATGTTTTCTGCAAAAAAATGCTTTACCTTGACAGCGATTTGCGTAGAAATAGTTTTCAATTTATATCTGCATAGATTTTGAGCCTTCAAAGTTTTATGAACAAAACTAATATAAACTAAGAATTGATGAACTAAACCAAATGCGTTGATTTTCTTGAACTTGTTTTCGCTATAAAATCTCGGTTTCATTTATTGGTTTGATCAAATCAAATTCAAAACGTAGTCAAAATAACTTAACGATAACAAGGAGACACAGGAGTAATGACTGTCTGGAGTACTCAGAAATTTTTCTAGGGGGGTCGGGTTTTCGAAAACATTTTGGTTATTTTGATGACATTTTTTCAGGACGACCAAACTGAATTTCTGAGATCTCCGAAAATATTATAAGGACGTATTTTATGAAAATTTGAGCTTTCTTTTAAAAAATGACCAATAAATTGCGTTTGTTTTTTGGCACGCGCTCACGCTTCAACCGAAGGCGCGTTTAGAAAAATTTTGAGGTCAGCCAGCCAAAAATGAATTTCGTAAAATTATACCAAAGGGGGACCCTTTGATAAACTTGGCAACCGGAATTGAGGGGGCAGGGGAGGGGGGGGGGTCGCCTTCACCGCCCCCTCGGCACGCTACTGATGCTATTTTAGAGCGCAGTAAACTTCTAGAATCATATATGATTGCGACATTTTAATAATGCTTAACTAGTTTGGTCAAACTAGACCAAGCTGCTTTTTTGTAGGTTGCTGGCAATCGTATAATTTATACTCGGCTATCAAACCAATATTAGACTGAAAACTTAGAAATCCGAAAGTCCTACCGCTAAAATGAAAATTGCAGAGTGAACAAATTTTGAGACTTCAAGCCGAAAAATTACTCGAAGTTGTGTTTTTCACATCCCCCTGCCCCACATTTCAAATTTTCTAACTATTTTGATAGTTTTTTTCTACGCATTATTCTGACTTAATACATGATGTTACGATTTAAAGTAAGAAAAACAATTTTTTTTCATCTTTCACAAAAAACTTGCTTGTTTGTTCAACATGTCAAGTTTCTGCTTTATGAAAATATTTAAGATAGCTTTTCAAAACCAATTCGTTCAGAAATCCAGCACCTTACAGAGCTTAATTATTATGAAGTTACCATTTTAGAAGCCGATTTGAATTGTCACTATAAAGCTAGAAGTCTGTTTACAGGTGCCATACAATAGGAAAGTGAAAAAAGTCCGGACAGTTTCACGACTTAAGTAAAATAAAATGACTACTTTCATTAACATTTGAAAATTGTTTGGCGGTAAAACTGTCCAAGCCAGAACTATATGTTCCAATGTCAGAATGTTTGCAAGTCCCAGTTTTAATTATTAAATCAATAATGATCAATCGGTTATGGTTTCCTTTTGACATGCTTCTTTAATTGTAGTTGTTTTGCACTTGTCTTCATTCAGTGTCTTCTAGAGTCTCCTAGGAGTACTCTGCCTCGTTAATCATGGACATGAACTGCTGGAAAGAAAGCAGGTGACGGGAGTCCTGGGATGGAGAGAACTCGGAGAAGATGCTGTGCAGCTCCTCGTCTGTCAGTTGTTTTCCGAACTCCCGCAGAATGTTGCCGACGTTATCAGCGCTTATGAGTCCATCGTTATCCGTGTCGAGTACTTTGAACGCCTAATTTTTTCAATATGAACATGATTATATAAGATTGAGAAAAAAACTGACATGATATTTGAGGAGACGTAAAAATTAACCATTACACACTACGAGATATGTTCTCATTTTTACCTTTTCACAGAAATCAAGCAGAAATCACGCAGTCCCAGCAGAATGATGGTTAGCAATAACATTGAGTTGGCTAGGAATTCAGTACATCTTTGCTTGTTTTTCACCTTGTTTAACATATCTTTTCGTTTCATTTGGCTTATTTCTTTTTAATATTTCGGGAATTTTTTTAAAAAGTACCTTGTCCAGTTCGTCTTCCGTGACAGGGTCGCAGAACTCGTCCAGTAGATCTCTAACAAAATGAGGGAAGTCCACAATCGAGGACTCCCCTGATGGTCTCTTTGTCATTGCTCACTACCATTCGCTGCTTGTTCTTCTCCATTATCTCCATGCATTTCTCTCTCGATTTGGAGAATCCCAAATCCTGTAATATTTTGAACAACTTCAACTGTGGAGTTTGTTCATTTTTTGATATTTTTGAAGCACGAGTAATTCAAAAAATCCATGGCTTGGTCCAGACTAAAATTGGCACCCCAAAAATGGTCCCTTGTGTGCGTGTGCGACACTATCAAATTTAATTTCTTGAAAATTATAAAAAGAAAATTGTTCAAGAAAACGTTCTTCCTGCAGTATATTTTTTGGTAAAATGTTTTCTACCATAAGATCTATTATAGTTAGAGATGGATAGCTTGTTGCTAGCTTTTGGAAATGGCTGTGCGTTTGATTATGACAGGAAAAACGAGACGAAATGGTTCATTTAAAAACAAAGATTTTGTTCAGTAAACAGGAGAAAATAGACGAACATTGGACTAAGCTCATTTTTAAAATTATTCTGAAGTAAAAAAAAACTGGAGTCATTAAACAAGTTCTTCTATGCTAAAAATTTTCAAAACTAGCTGATTGGCTGAATTTTCTCCAGCCTCTGTCAACAGCTTAGAAAGTTTGTGCAAAAAAAAATTAATTTTAGTAATTTTTAGAAAAAGTAATTATTCTCTCCCTCAATAGTTAGATAGCTTTTACCTTCAGAGCAATCTGAAAACAATCACATGCCGTTAAAAAGTAAATATTGTAGGTAGGCCGATTGTTCCCGTTACTTTTCTGGGAGGGAAGGTAAAAACAGAGGCGAAGTGGAGCTTCGCAAAGTC